CTTCATGCCTCTGTGAATAAATAAACAATTTTGTCTTCACTGGTGGAATTAAGTTCCTCATAGCCTTAAGCTAAGCCACTCTAAGTTATATTTATATATATTTATTTTTTTCTCAAAGGATTCAAGAGTACATTCTTGCTTTTGCAAAATGAAATTCAGTTTTTTTTTCTGACCTGCTTTATATGTATATCTTTAATTAGTGTCTTGTTTAGCTTAAACCGGCTGATTATCGCATATCCGTGACCTAATTACTGCACACGATTCTTAATGCCAGTATTGTGCCCTAAGGAGCAACCAAAAGTTACCTTTAAAAACTAGTGTAATCATTAGCAATGAGCTGCCCCTAATCCTACTAAACATACACTTATCTAGCCCCGGCCAGTCTGTGTTTGCTGGGTAGGGGAGGGGCTGGGTATTCTCCACCGTGTTTATTAAAGACATTTGTTAATCACTGTGGTTAAAACAAGTTTGTCCCTATGCTCCGAGTCTTTAGCCGTGCTCCACAGGGATCTTAACGACTAACCTGCAAATAAGAATGCAGTTGTGAACCTGGTGTTTTCTTAGATCACTTTCTCTGGAGTCATTTGATGCTTAATGAAAACTGAAGTGAAAATAGTTTAGAAATACTAACTGTGTGAAGTCAAATTGGAAAAAAAAAAAAAAAAAAAAAAAAAAATGCGCTCATTGTGTTCCACACGGACTTAATGAGGGACGGACAACGCGGAAAAGAAAGCGGAAAGCGGAAAAGAAAGCCAGACAAAGAAATCGGGAGTTTTGTGGACCCTTTCAATCAAAGATCCTGGTCGAGTTGCAGATCTGGATGAACTTGTAGACGAGCAGAGAGACAGCCGGTAAGACTCGAGCTTTATTGTTGATGAGATCGGACTGCAAAGCTACTCACGATCTCCTGTCGGACTTCCAGCTCTGCCTGCTCATTAACACCATCAACTACAACACGCCTGAAGTAGTATTGATTGATTGATTTTATGAATGAACTGATTGTTGTATTTTGAATAATGAATTTAGATGTTAAGCTTAGCTATTTATTAATCTAGCATTATATTAGAAATGACATCTTAAAGCTATTTATATTCATGAACTTAATATTTATGACTAATATTGAAAAGTGATGGTTGTATATTTAAATAAATGTAAATATGTTATTGAAAAGATGAATTTGAAATGTATTTTAAAGTTAAGGACTTAAGTTTAGTTACTTGTTCATTTAACTTTAGTTATTTTGGGGGTTTGATTCACAGTGGGTTGCTTAGTATTGTTTATATGGTTTGTTTCTTTGTAGTTGATTGAAATTAATTTGTGTAAATTTGCAAACAATTAAGTAATTATTTCTTTGTCTTTCTTTTGGGTTGTCCAAAGGTTTTACCTGCTCTGGACCAAATGTGGAATATCCTGACATGCACTAAATAAATGAAGGATAAAATGAAGAAAACTGCTTGGTCCTTTGAGTAAAATCCTGTTTTTAAAAAGTCTGCATCCATTCATCCATCCCTTCTCAAGTGGGGAAGCTGCACAAATCAAAAAAGAACTTGACAGTAAAAACCGGACGCAACTGCTGATGGAAAAAGAACTGTTTCAAAAGATGGCGGATTCAGCTGATGGAAAGTCTGTTGTTCAGGCAAAGATGGAAAGAACGACAGCAAAAAGATGTTGACTCGATTGATCAACAACATAACTCGGACGCATGAGGACATGACTGAAAGAGGAACTAAAGGACAGTTTCCACAAGCTCAACATAGAGGCTGGAAAAGTAATGACGGCAAATGATGATCTCGAGCAAGTCTCATCGCAGAATTGGAATCCAACTTTGGTGAAGATGATGGAGTCACACTGACTGAGCAGAAATCTGACCTGGAAAAGACTGCAAATGAGTGTGAAGAAAAAGTAAGAGAAGTCAAAGGCTTAATCCAGGAGACCCTGTGGAGAACCTTTGGAAAAACTGAACTGTTAGTTGCACTTCAAGTAGCGGAATTAGAATGTGAACATGCTGCCACTATCAAACCAGGAGTGGAGAAGGAAGCATATGACTTCACCCTTAACCACCTGAGGGAACTCTTAAAGGCTGCAAAAGAAGCTCATTGTCACTGGAAAAGATGGATCCCTCATGGAGCACGAGATGAAATCCAAGATCGTCTGAGAGGATTGGAACTTAGTGTCCCCAAGCTGGTTTCCAGGACTGCAGAGTTCATTCATGCAAAGCTAAAAGATGAAGAAAAGAAAGATCATATTGTAACTTCCCAAAATTATTCTTTACCAACCATCAAGCTGAAACCAACTTCTCTCCAAATTTTTTGGAACAAACGTGACTTTTATAGATGGAGAAAAGACTGGAAGCACTTCAAAAACAAGGAGAACCAACTGGTTCAAAAGAAGTGAAGAAAGTGCAGCTGCTGGACAGTCTGGATGAGAAAATCATGAGAGACCTTCGCTTAACCTCCTATAGCACTCCAGAAGACATTTTTCAAGTCCTTGAAAACCGCTATGGAAATCAGACCTCTATTGCAATTGAAATTGTGGAAGAGCTACAGAGAATTCCTGCAGTTTAGAGGTCACCAGCCAAGAAGAATCGTGGAGTTGATCCAAGCTGTTGAAAAAGCTCTTAAGGATTTAAGTGATCTTGGAAATACTGGAGCTATTAAGAACCCTCTGGTTACAAAGTCAATTGAAACTAAGCTCCCTGAAGTTTTGAAGAAGGAATGGCTCGTTTATGCAGCTGATAAAAGGAATGCTGTGACACCAGAGAATCGATTTGATCACCTGCTTGCATTTCTGAAAGATCAAGAAAATATTTATGAGCAACTAGAGCAACTGAGAGAGGAAGAGTCAAGTAGACGAGAGACCCGAATGGAGCAAAGACATGCTAGAACCAAGTCAGTCAAAGCAGTTGATGACTTTGCAAACTGTGTTTGTCTGTGGTGACGGAAAACACAGGAAAGACTTTACTTTTGTAAACAGTTCAGAGCATTAACATTAACTGAGAAAAAAGCTGCTGTTAATAAAATTGGCGCATGTAGAAAGTGTTTGGAAATACATGATGACAAATCATACTGCAAACCTGGATTCTTGTGCAAGAATCAAGCTGCAGGAATGGAGATGATCCACATCACTATTATCTATGCCCAAGTTTTGAAGCTAAGAAAAGCAACACAGCCCAGAGGAGGAACCGATTCGGCAAAGAAGAAGACAAAAGCAGCAGAAAGTATACAGAGGAGCAAGAAGAATTTCTTAAGAAATTGTCACCTGAGTTGGCTAAAGACTGTAGAGATGTATTTTCAAACACTGCATCTAGAACTTTCAATACAAACTCAAAATCAGTTAAATCTCCTGATGGACAGTGGAGTGCAGGAACTGCCAGTGTTAATGATGCTCCTTGAAGTAACTGCAAATGCTGGTCAAAAAATTGGCACATTAATTGATCTTGCATCAGATACAAATTACATAACACACAAGGCTGCAAGCAGATTAAATCTTAAGAGTGAAGAGATCACGCTCATTGTCCATGGAGTTGGGGGGATGAAAGTTTGTGGAGACAAAACGTTATCTTTTGAAGATTCGTGTGAAGACCTCCAAAGGCACCCTTAAACCTTACCAGCTTGTTTGCTATGGACTTGACAGTATTGCAGACATTCATAAGCATGTTAAAGCAAAGCAGCTGCAAAGATTTTTTCCAGATGTACCACTGGATGAACTTGAAAGACCTAGAGAAATAAGCTTACTTATAAGCCATAGGGAAGGTCAGTTAACACCACAAAGGATTAGAGTTGTGGGGAACCTTGTACTGTGGGATGGTCCCTTAGGAAAAGTGGTTGGAGGAACTCATCCAGAATTGTTTGAGGAGCTTGCCATGACTGCTTATTCCACCAAAACCCACTTTGCAAGGTCAATGAGGACAGCTGCTGCCAAATATGAAGAATTAATTAATGAAATCCCACAGAATTCACCATTAAATCACCAGGTCTCTATCCAGCTGAAAGCATCAAGCACTGCAACTTCAAGCCGGGATTTCCTGGAGTGGTGGAGATGGGACAGTATTGGCGCAGCCTGTGAGCCTAAGTGTGGAGGTTGTCGGTGTGGAAACTGTCAGCCGGGAGGAAAGTCGATGACGCTCGCTGAAGAAAGGGCTAGAGGTAGTGAAGGAAGGCCTCACCTACAATGAAGGAGATAGCCACACTAACGAACCTCACTGGCATGCTAGGTACCCATGGTTGGAGGATCCAGCATCCCTTCCAAACAACAGAAATGCAGTTGAAGCTACATTTTTTAGGACAGAGAAGCAACTGGCTAAAGAACCTGACTGGAAAACTGCCTACACTGAACAAGTGCATGACATGCTTCAGCGTGGAGCTGCAATTAAGTTGTCTGAGGAAGTAATCAACAAATGGAATGGCCCAGTGTGGTATGTAAGCCACTTAATTGCTCCAAATCCACACTCGGTGACAACTCCTGTAAGACTTGTGTGGAATAGCAGTCAGAAATTTAAAGGGATAAGTATGAATGACCTGCTGAGAAAAGGCCCAGATGTCCTGAACCAGATCCGTGCTGTCCTATTAAGGTTCCGAGAGGGAGCTTATGCTGCATTAGGAGATATAAAGAAATGTATAATTCTGTTTGGCTGGAAGAAAGAGAAGTTCACCTGCACAGGTTTATTTGGCGTGACTCTGAGGATGAAAAGGTTGGAGACTATGCAATTACAAGAGTGAACATTGGAGATAAACCTGCAGGATGCATTGCACAGTTGGCGATGCGAGAAACTGCAAGTTTACCCTCATTTATTCACCTTGTAGAGGAGCGACAAGTCCTTCAAAATAACAGCTATGTTGACGACATTCTGGTGTCCCACAATGATCCCGACAGACTAAAGCAAATGACAGAAATGTGGAGCGCATTCTCAAAGCTGGAGGTTTCAAACTAAAACCCTGGGTGTTTTCTGGGCAAAGTGGGAGGAAAAATTGTAGCAACAAGCAGGATGAGGAGAAGTAAAGACCATGATTTTACCAAACCAAATGCGGGATGAGGACAATAAAGCACTCGGTCTGGGGTACATTGTCGAGGAGGACAAACTCCATGTCATGGTCAGCATAAATTTTTCAAAGAGGAAAAGAAAGATGCGACTTGGACAAGACCTCCAGCAAGACCAAATCAGAAGTCAAACTCCAAACCCTCTGACAAGGCGAGAGCTCCTCAGTCAGGTGTCTGGTCTGTATGATCCAATTGGCCTGGTGACTCCTGCGAAACAAAAGGGAGCAATCCTAGTACGGAAAGCTTTCCAAGAGGCAAAGAATGTGAGTAAACAAGTAAAAGATACCTGGGATTTGGCACTCTCCAGTGATCTTAGAGAAGAAGCTATTAAGCTCTTTGAAGAGTACTCTCAGCTCAGTGAGATCCAGTTTGTCAGATCATTAACTCCTTTTCAAAACTGTAATAACTCTTTAGCTATTACATTTTCAGATGGAAGCGAATGTTCTTATGGAGCAGTGTTGTACCTGAGGTGGGGATCAACTCAAGACCCAATCATTAGGCTGGTGGAATCCAAGGCTAAGCTGACTCCATTGGAACAAAGAGGTGAGGCTGTTAAAGCAGAGATATGTGGAGCAGTGTTTGCATCACGCTTAAAGAAGTACTTTGAGATGCATTGCCAAATTAAAATTGAAAAGTGGTATCATCTCATTGATAGTCAAACAGTTCTCGGAGCAATTCAGAGAGAAAGCTATGGGTTCCAATCATTCTTTGCTAACAGGATTGGAGAGATCCAGAGCAACACAAGAATCCAAGATTGGTGGTGGATTCCTGGGGATCAAAATATTGCTGACATCATTACTCGAGGAGCCAGCCCTCAAGATCTTGATCTTAACTCTAAGTGGCAACAAGGCCCAGCATTTTTAAAATCTCCAGTTGAAATTTGGCCTATTAAATCACCTAGGCAAATTGCCATCAATGCAAAAGAAAGTATCACAAAGCTGCAAAAGAAAGCATTCATTGCTGTAACCACAAGAACCAGTATAAAGGAATCAGGGTTCAAACAAGAATCACTTGAAAATCGAACAGAGGTCTTGGCAAAGAAGCGGCGGCCATCGATATCCATACAGAACCTGGTAGATGTTAGCCGCTTTAGCAGTTTAACACTATTGGTCAAGACAATTGTTTGGGTTTGGAGAGCAGCAAAGAGATTTATAGGGAAAAATCAAGCTGTGAATAAACCAAAGTGGGAGGCAGTCTGCTCTGCAGGGGTAGTCTCTGTGAGAGAAAGAGAAGATGCTCTCAGGGATATTTTCCTTACTGCTCAGATGGGTGCCAACTTTCCTAACACAACCATGGATAGGTTGGTGATTTATCAAGACAAAGAATCTGGGTTATTAGTATGTGGTGGCAGAATACAGATCTTTAGAGAAGATAGAGTTGCAGTTCCCATCATACCCCATGATGCTTGGGTGTCAACACTGTTGGGCAGAGAAGCTCACAATGCTGCATGATGGAATTGCTGGAACCCTATTGAGGATGAGGAAAAAAGCCTGGGTTGTAAAAGGACGAAGGATAGCCCAAAAGATTGTTGATAGCTGTATGGTCTGTAGGAAAGCTCGAGCTTTGAAGTGCCAGCAGTTGATGGGTGATTTGCCACCTGAGAGAACTGAGCCTGCTCCTCCTTTCAAGTTCACTTCAGTTGATCTCTTCGGACCTTATCATGTCAGAGATGATGTCAAAAAAAGGGTGACAATTAAGGTCTGGGGTGTTGTCTTTTGCTGTATGGCCAGTAGAGCTATTCACACCGAATTGGCAAGCTCTCTTTCCACTGAAAGTTTCTTGATGGCTTATCAGAGATTTACTGCAATCCGAGGTCACCCACAAAAGATCTGGTCTGATGCAGGCACCAATTTTGTTGGAGCAAAACCAGTTTTAGAGGAGCTCTATAGATACCTGGGCACCCAAAATATATCAGGTTTGGAAGAAACTGCAGCAAAGAATGGGACTGAGTGGGTGTGGAAAATCCTTCCTGCAGACTCACCTCACAGAAACGGAGCTGCTGAAGCTGCTGTTGGCATTGTGAAAAGAGCTTTCCAGAGTCTTGGTCAAGAATTCTCACTAACTTTTAGTGAGTTTCACACAGCTCTTTATAATGCTGCCAATCTAGCAAATGAGCGCCCCATTGATGCCAGACTACAGAGTCGAGAGGGTTGTATTCAGTATGTCACACCTAACAGCCTTTTGCTCGGCCGAGCATCCCAGACAGGTGATGTAAAAATGTTTGACTTTTCCAGCTATTCATTCAAACGACTTGGCGCTATGCAAAATGAGGTTACTAAATTCTGGAAAAGTTGGAGGCAGCTGGCTGGTCCTAATTTTTGTGAGGAGCAAATGGCACACTTCCCAAAGAAATGTTGCTGTTGGCGACATTGTCTGGTTGTGTGACCAAAATGCACTTAAAGGACAGTTTATACTGGGCAAAGTTGTAAGTGCTAATCCCGACAACAAGGGTGTTGTGAGGGACGTAAATGTCCAGGTTGTCCCAAGTTATTGCACTCCTATAACAAAACATGTCAAGCAAAGATCAGCTCATCCACCAAAGAAAGATAAAATGAAAACCACCATTCTTCACAGGGATGTTAGGAGGCTCATCGTCTTAATACCTGTAGAAGAACAAACACAAAGTCAAGCCAAAGAGGATTAAAAAACCCAGAAAGTGACAGTGAATCTGCGATCTTCCCAGTGATTCCTGGAAAGATCGAGTGGGAGGTGTGAAGTCAAATTGGAAAAAAAAAAAAAAAAAAAAAAAAAAAAAAATGCGCTCATTGTGTTCCACACGGACTTAAATGAGGGACGGACAACGCGGAAAAGAAAGCGGAAAGCGGAAAAGAAAGCCAGACAAAGAAATCGGGAGTTTTGTGGACCCTTTCAATCAAAGATCCTGGTCGAGTTGCAGATCTGGATGAACTTGTAGACGAGCAGAGAGACAGCCGGTAAGACTCGAGCTTTATTGTTGATGAGATCGGACTGCAAAGCTACTCACGATCTCCTGTCGGACTTCCAGCTCTGCCTGCTCATTAACACCATCAACTACAACACGCCTGAAGTAGTATTGATTGATTGATTTATGAATGAACTGATTGTTGTATTTTGAATAATGAATTTAGATGTTAAGCTTAGCTATTTATTAATCTAGCATTATATTAGAAATGACATCTTAAAGCTATTTATATTCATGAACTTAATATTTATGACTAATATTGAAAAGTGATGGTTGTATATTTAAATAAATGTAAATATGTTATTGAAAAGATGAATTTGAAATGTATTTTAAAGTTAAGGAACTTAAGTTTAGTTACTTGTTCATTTAACTTTAGTTATTTTGGGGGTTTGATTCACAGTGGGTTGCTTAGTATTGTTTATATGGTTTGTTTTCTTTGTAGTTTGATTGAAATTAATTTGTGTAAATTTGCAAACAATTAAGTAATTATTTCTTTGTCTTTCTTTTGGGTTTGTCCAAAGGTTTTTACCTGCTCTGGACCAAATGTGGAATATCCTGACATGCACTAAATAAATGAAGGATAAAAATGAAGAAAACTGCTTGGTCCTTTGAGTAAAATCCTGTTTTAAAAAGTCTGCATCCATTCATCCATCCCTTCTCAAGTGGGGAAGCTGCACAAATCAAAAAAGAACTTGACAAACTGACTTGTCCATATGCCTTCAATAGAAACTAGATATCTGTTGGTAGAAAACAATGTTTATACTGAGTCTATGAGAATACAGTATCTTAAATCACTCTTCATCAAGAGGATGAGGACAGTGGGTGGATCCGTGTCCACAAAACAAGCATTCAATTTTAGAGAAGTATCTGTTGCTTCTTTTTGAATTTATTGAGAAATAAACTCATCCATAGTTTTGTAAAACTATAGTTACTGTTTGTGCAATGGACAGCAAAGTAATGATGGAACAAAAGAAATAGGAGAAAAAAATAATAGTTTCTTAGATTTTGCTTTGTTACCTGAGGAAGGCGATGAGGGATGTGGACTGTCATCTTGAATGCTCCCCGTCTGGGACTGTCCGCCTCCGGCACCGCTCTCTTCGGTCACGTTGGATGAACCAGGAGTCGTGGAACGGCTGATGGACTGGGACTCAGGGTCACTGGCAGAGCCACGACGTTCATCTACACCTTGATGAAGACCTTCATCAAGGCCTCTCCTGTCTTTGCCATGTATTCGGGAGTGAACAATCATTTGATGGTAGGTTCTGAAGACACGGCCGCAGTCAGGACACTCTGAAGGCTTTTCCTTCAGGGTGGAAAGATTGTAGTCAATGTTTGGGGCTCCTAAACTAGACAGACCTACAGGAGCTTCAGCACCACCATGATGAGAGATTAGATCACGATGACTTTCAAAGCCTCTGCCATCCTCCTTCATGGGAATCATGGCTCCGCTGGAAGCCTTAGATCCTTGCATGCCCTCAGCGAGCTGCTTCTGCTTGGAACTATCACTAGAAGCAATAATGGAATAGTCTTGTTTGTCTTTTGAGTAGGAAGCCAGGGCCACAGCACCGCTTATCTCATCTTCCTGTCCTGGAGTTATGTGTGGCTGGTGCTGCTGCTCCTTGGGCATGAAAGCCCTGTCCATGGCCATACCACGTGCCATGATCTGCCAGGCTTGATAGCTGTTGAGAGAATCCATTTCTGCCACTTTTGCAGCAGCTTGAAGGCGCTCCATGCAACTGGACTTGAGTGGCGGCACAAGATTGAGACAACCAAGGAGTGAACGCTTTTCATTTTCACCAAGCCCATGTGCCATCCCCCCTGCCATTGGTCCCAGCAGTTTTCCTAACATCTCCTTTTCCTTCATGGCAATCCCTGCTTTAGCTAACATCTGGTGTTGCTCAGTAAGGCCTTGTTTGTCTGGTGAAAGGAACCCTCCTTGAAGACATGAAATGTAACGGGAATATAGATTGGCATGAGCTTCTTGAGCTAGATTGCTCATGCTATTAACAGCAGCAATGTCTTGCTCACTGGGCTGTGGTGGCTTGCTCTTAATGGCTAGCTTGTTTAGGTGAACCTTCATATGGTTCTTCAGAAACCAGGGTTCCTTAAAGCGACGGCCACAGATTTGACAGCAGTGCTCAAAGGAATCCTTGTGCTTTCGCATGTGACCCTTAAGAAACCAAGCTTGGCTGAAAACCTGGCCACAGACATCACATCGAAATTCAGTGGCCATTTGCATGCCTCCAGCGCCACTGGCACCCTGTCCTTGTGTGGTTTCAGCCGTGATATGAGCTTTCTCCACATGACTTATCAGTTCTTCTTCATGGGAGGCAGCAAATTCACATAGAGTACATTTGTAGGGTTTGTGGAGAATGCGGATGTGGCGGTCTAATTCTTCGCGCTTCTTGAATTTCCCTTTGCAGAATGTACAACGGTAACCGTTAGCTGGATTCACTGACTGTTCATCCTGGTTTGTTGGTTTCGGTGAAGAAGATGGCTGAGAAACTGTGTCTGGAGTTGCAAGGCCAGAAAGTGGAGGCGGGCCACAGGCTGACGGTATTTGCTGCTGATGGGTGTTGGAGCTGCTGTTGAGGACAAGATGGGGTGTTTGAGCAGTCTGGAGAAGACCTCCACTCCCTCTCATCTGCTTATCTCTCAAGATGGCCCTCTCCTCAAGCTCATGAAGCAGCCTGTTTTCCTCTCTGACACGGCCACGGCCTTTACCAAGATTTCCGAGTTTATGAGTGCGAAGATGGATCTTTAAATTACCCTTCTGAGCTGCTCTGTGGTCGCAGTAGGGGCACTTGAATGGCTTCTCGCCTGTGTGTGTACGCATGTGGAGTGAAAGGATACTGTTAAAACGGAAACGTTTGCCACACAGCGGACAAGGATACTTTCTATTCTTCCGAGCATCATCTTCAATATCATTCATCTGCGACATGATGCCCAAATTTTGGCCATTGAGAAATTGCTGAAGATCAACCCGACCATTTAGCCCACTTAGCGCACCTGCATCAATGTCTCGGTTGAGCTGATTGGCTAACAGGGCCATCTGACTGCTGATAGGTTGACTGGCCAGGGCTGCGTGATGCGTCTTCTCATCCAGAGGTGTGACAGCCTTCTCCTCAGGAATCTGCTGTGGGCGGTGCAAGTCAGGAAAGGCGTGTCCTAGTTGGGCAGTGAGCTGGTGAAGCTTTTGACTGATGGGGTAGCGGCCATTTAAAACTGCACTACTGAGATGGGCGTCGGTGTCAGGCACCGCCGATGATACACCAAGACATAAACTGGAGTCCTCCATTCTGTGGAACCAGATAGAAAAAAGGAAATTAGTCATAATGTAAATAAAAACAGTATAGATATCACTATATTATGCACAATTGATTTCTGGTTACCCAACAACATGACCATGGGTCATGCCTAATTCTATTGTATGCACCCTAACCAATGGTGCAAAAACCACCATTGTCAATAAAAGAGGCACTCTCTTTACATTTATAGT